GATAGGAATACGATCGGCCCGTGTGGAACACTTCCTTTAACATCCTGCCACTCTTGAGGTCTCTCTTTGCCCTCTGACCCTTTTGAAATTGAAATTGAAATAAGTTTATTGAGGTAAAATACACACAAAGGGATGAGGTAGCTCAAGCTATTCTCACCCCGTTCAGTACATCGTGTTAATACATACATAGACACACATCACAAGCAATAAACGTATTACCGAACATTCTGAGAGATAAACATATACATTTCCTCCTTTACACAAGTAGTATGGTATCAGACGTACACACAACTACTTTTATGACCTAGGTATACTGTATAGACAACTCTGACCCTTTGTTATCTGTTGCAGCATACTCCTTTATTCCCTGGAGTATCTTCCCTGTCACACCTTCCTGTTCCTGCCTTTTGTACACTGGTTTCCTGTGGGGTACTGTGCCGAAAGCTTTCTGACAGTCCCAGAAGATTATCTGGTCTGATCTCAGTCGCCAGTTCATAAAAGTATCAAGTTTGTGAGGCAAGATTTACCATCTCTAAAGCCATGCTAGTGTTGTGTTAAAAAGTTAATTCTCTCTAGATGTTTTATTTATTTCTTGTGATCTTTTCCCTCACCTTGCATGACACGCAAGTGACACAGGATTGTAGTTTAATGCCTTCCTGTTCGTCTCCTCTTCTTGTATAATGACAATACACTGGCCGCCTCTCAACTCTGGCCGTTCTCCCTCTCACAAGTGACGTTATACATCATAGCAGCCCGCACAAGGCTTCCGCTCCTTCTCTTAGGATCCACGGTGATATCTGGTCCCCCAGCCTTAGTAGGGTCTAGTTCCATCACATACTTTTTACTTCGACTCTAGTAATCTCTTGTGTACGTCTGTTGCTTGGTCTGGCTTAGTCTCCCTTAGCTGGAGAACTTTGCTTTCTGGTGTGAAGGCTTTCTGAAACCTATTGATTTTTCACACTCTCTCTCGTTCTCAATGTGTGTGTGGTGTGTGTGTGTGTGTGTGTGTGTGTGTGTGTGTGTGTGTGTGTGTGTGTGTGTGTCACCAGCCGCCCTGGGAGGCTCAACACTACCATCGGCGTCCTCGACGATCGTCCTACAGAAGCTCTTGCTTGTGAATAAACAAGAGCCCCCTCACAGAGGCCATTAAGAGGCTCTCAGGAGCCAGGGATTGAGAGTAGATACTTTGGTGAGCCAGCACAGATAGCAGTTTCACACGGGGTGGGGAGGGTTCAAGGAGAGATTGCAAATATTACGATGAGCTAAGGGGGTAATACTCGTTTCTCAAATGAGGAAACACCAGATAGACATCTGAGCCAGACGAAATATCAGAGACTAACACCATTTTCAGTATTGAAATCTAAGATAATTATGGCACGAGAAGATGGAGATGGGTAACACTAAATCAGGTGACCGACAAACAGAAGGGCAGAGTCCAGGAGCTGAATCTCGACCAAACAAGTCCACACAAACACAACGCACACACAAAAAATATAGGAACGCGAACTGAATTAGTTGATACTTGCGCATAATGTAAGTTACAAAATATTAACGACATGATTGATGCTTTTGGACTGTAATAACTTGAAGTAACAAACTTAATAGATGGATTGTTAGTTTTATCGCCCCAACACCCCCCCCCCATCTCCATTTTCTACCTCCTCAAGACCCCCTACATTACATTTTCTTCCTCCCCTACACCCCCCCACCCTTCTCCATTTTCTCTCTCTCTCTCCAAGACCAGTATATCCATTTTTCACAAAACTTCCCAACAGCTGGACTACGAGGGGGGACCGATAAATGCCGCAGTAAGACTTATTAATGTAGTTGAAGTAGAAAAGAGGTAGAGAACAATAATGAAGTGAAAGGTTGAAGGAAAATGCGATTGATAAAGAGAGAGAGAGAGAGAGAGAGAGAGAGAGAGAGAGAGAGAGAGAGAGAGAGAGAGAGAGAGAGAGAGAGAGAGAGAGAGAGAGAGAGGAGAGACATAATGAAGGATGGGGGAGAGAGGTAGTAGAAAAAGGACACTATGAACCGCATGAACCTGGAAACACCCAACACCATTCGCACACAAACACGCGCGGGAATAAGAGAGAAATGCGGAATTCATTTCAATCAATACACAGTTTGACTGCGATACCCCACGCGTTACTTTTGAGTGTGTGACGACCTATTCCCCATCCCCGTCCCTGGGGATTTTCAATTTCTGATTTTTTTCAATTTTTTTTTCAATTTTTTCAATTTTTTTCAAGTTCAATTTCGTCCCTGGCGTACGGAGCGGCCTGCAGGAGCGCGAATGACTCCCCTGAGAGCATGCACTTCCCATAGTGTTTATGTTACCATCCCCCCCATTACCCCATTACCCATTCCCCTACCGTCCCTGGTGCTCATCCCGGGTGATGGGCAGCACTGATTACAGTAGCCATAGTTATTGTTTTGTTTGGCGTCGGCTTAAATGAATCTCGGGTTTATGTGGTATTTATTCGGTGATGGCGTTAGGCTGGCTGGCTGGCTGGCTGGCGAGCTGTCTGGTTCTCTGTATGGCTGGCTGGCTAGCTGTCTGGTTCTCTGTATGGCTGGCTGGCTGGCTGGCTGGCTGGCTGGCTGGCTGGCTGGCTGGCTGGCTAGCGAACTGTCTGGTTCTCTGTATGGCTGGCTGGCTGGCTAGCTAGCTGTCTGGTTCTCTGGCTGGCTGGCTAGCTCGTCTCTGTCTGGCAACCGGTGTCTTTGCCCCATATTGATACCTTTCATTCACTCTCTCCCTACATAACCCCCACCCACCCACCCCTCCCCCATTTCCCATCACATAGCGTTCCCCTTCCCCCCCCCCTCCATCTCCTGTACCCTCCTCCACTCTCCCCATTTCCCTCGTTTCTGTCTCCCCTCACTCACATTGAAGAAGAGAAGGGCAATACACTCCTTGCTCTATCAAGTCGCGGGTAAGTGCGACGCATATTTAGTATATGAATATTCAATTCCATTTATATATATATATATATATATATATATATATATATATATATATATATATATATATATATATATATATATATATATACTTTATTCTGTATATACTGTATATCTGAACAAGTTTTCGTGCTGGAACAAATTATCGTGTAACATAATAACTGTGGGGGTCCATGTATTATTTATCATAGGTTAGACTAATTATATGTGAGAAAATCGTCGGTGCACTATTGCGGGATCGAACTATATATCGTCCTCGGTCACCCCCCCCCCCTCCCCCCAGACACGTGTCGTATACTCATGAACCTCAGAGTTATTATAGCATGCCTCAGGGATCACTTCAGACGCTATAGCTCGATCCCGCCGCCCTGCTACAAATATTTTCACATTTATATATATATTTATATATCCCGCCATTGTTACTTCATTGTATATACATGAACGAGTTTGACTTTGTATCTAGGCCTAAATTAGGCCTTTTTGCTGTTTCGTTTAGTCATATATCCTCACGTTGGTATGTTGCATATTTGACTATCTATACTCATCAAAATCACTAATGCAAAATTTTTTTTGACGAACGTAACGCTGGTCAAAATAACAGATTTTAGGCGCTGTGATGCAGAAAATACCGCTGCGAGCACCACAGCTACATCTAGGATCACTTGAGAAAAAGATATCCTAATATCAGGTGAAGTCATTAATATATCCCAACCCATTCTCCCGTTAAGATACCAGTTTTTTTTTTTTGTAACAAAGTGCACCGTAGTACAAAGATTGCCGTTCTAAGCAGTTAGATAAAAGAAGTGTGTATAATTCACTTTATTAGAATCGGATAAAATACGCTAAAAAACTAACTTAAATATTCCTAGGCCTAGTATAGCACACATGTATACTATATTAGCCCTCAGATATCGTATATTAGACCTAGGAACGTTAGGTTAGATAAGTTTGTGTTTGCAATATAAGTAGAACAAAAAATTGCTTTTCCCGTTTATCCAACTCAATAGTGCCTGATTTCTACTCTCTAAATGCGTTGTATGTCGATATATGTACTATGGTCCTGACCGTTACTACAAGTACTGCCAAAATTGGAGGATGGGCTGTATATATCCTGTCGCTGAAGGATATCCTCCTTCACTTCTTGGAAGAAAAGGAAGCGTAGGAGGTCGACAGTGAAGGGGCTAGGGAGGAGGAGGGAGAAGCAGGATAGCAAGGTTAAGGAATAGGAACAGCACGAGTGAGAGAAGAAAGAGGGGTGAGGATAGGAAAGGAAGGAAAGGCACGAGGAGCGATCGGTGAGTCAAAGGAGAATGAGAAGCACGAATGAGGAGAATCAGTGGGATGAAGAGGAGAATCAGAGGGAGAAAGGAGGAGAATCAGAGGGAGGAAGGAGGAGGAGCAGGAGGAGTGAAGAGAAGAAGCAGGGGGATTAAGAAGAGAAGCAGCATCCACTCTGGGAACTACAGCATAAGTAATGGTAAACAGTGATGATATATTTCAGAGATCTCTGCCAAGATGTGCAAGTAGTTACAGAATGTGACGAATTCGCCTGGGCTAGGCGCCTGGGCTAGGCGCCTGGGCTAAGCACCTCACCTAGGCACCTGGGCTAGGCACCTCACCTAGGCACCTGGGCTAGGCACCTCACCTAGGCACCTGGGCTAGGCACCTCACCTAGGCACCTGGGCTAGGCACCTCACCTAGGCACCTGGGCTAGGCACCTCACCTAGGCACCTGGGCTAGGCACCTCACCTAGGCACCTGGGCTAGGCACCTAGCCAGGGAGCCCGGAACTGAGAGAACGAAGGGAGATGAGTCTAATGATTCGGCATTTTTGTGTACATCATCCAGGCTGTGATTCATACGTCAGACTGCGAACAGCCGCGTCCAACAGCCTGGTTGATCAGATAACCACCCGGGAGGGCTGGTCGGAGACCGGGCCACGAGGCCGTTGATCCCTGGAAGCTACACAAGGTAGGTCGCCACATCGATTGGATTACGCGTAAAATAATGAAGAAGGAGCGAGAATTTGGGACCTCATATGTTGTGTTTGGGACCTCGTATGTTGTGTTTAGGACCACGAATGATGTGTTTGGGACCTCGAATGATGTGTTTGGGACCACGAATGTTGTGTTTGGGACCTCGAATGTTGTGTTTGGGACCTCGAATGATGTGTTTGGGACCTCGAATGTTGTGTTTGGGACCTCGAATGATGTGTTTGGGACCACGAATGATGTGTTTGAGACCACGAATGTTGTGTTTGGGACCTCGAATGATGTGTTTGAGACCACGAATGTTGTGTTTGGGACCTCGTATGTTGTGTTTGGGACCTCGAATGTTGTGTTTGGGACCTCGAATGTTGTGTTTGGGACCTCGAATGTTGTGTTTAGGACCTCGAATGTTGTGTTTGGGACCTCGAATGTTGTGTTTGGGACCTCGAATGTTGTGTTTGGGACCTCGAATGTTGTGTTTGGGACCTCGAATGTTGTGTTTGGGACCTCGAATGTTGTGTTTGGGACCTCGAATGTTGTGTTTGGGACCTCGAATGATGTGTTTGGGACCACGAATGTTGTGTTTGGGACCTCGAATGTTGTGTTTGGGACCTCGTATGTTGTGTTTGGGACCTCGTATGTTGTGTTTGGGACCTCGAATGTTGTGTTTGGGACCTCGAATGTTGTGTTTGGGACCTCGAATGTAGATATGATAGAGCCCAATAGGCTCATGAATCTGAACATCAGTTGATTGACAGTTGAGAGGCGGGACCAAAGAGCCAGAGCTCAACCCCCGCAAGCACAACGAGCTGAGTACACACACACCCATTTCCGAGCCCATTACACAAAAAGTAGCACACAAGACCCACTTACAAACCGAGAACAAAATGGAGCCAGCACAGTGCTTACCCGCCATAAAATTACCCAATTTGCTGAGTGCCAAGTGGTAGGTGTGAGAGCCACGATCAAACGAAGGAGAGTGCCAACACCTCCAGGAGGGGGTCCCCCGTAAACTACTCCTTCAGACTTGTAAATGAGCCACTTCTCTATATAATTTGCCACTAAAGACAAATTTGGCGATACTCAGTAAGTTTGGCGAATCGAATGTGTTTTTTTTTTCTTTAGCAATTATCAAAAACTTTTTGCTACACGGTAAATTTAGCGTTTTCTTCGGGAAGTTTTTGTCGACTCGGTATAACAGGTGATTAAAGATAATCGCCTGTCGGCTAATCTGGGGATTCTATATCAGTTTGGTAATGTTGATTTACAGATTTCGGCCTCCAGGGATTACATGATGTTTGACTGTTTTGTTTACTTTCTTTAGCAAGTATTTGGCAGAGCGACGGTCTCGCTACATGCAGGTCGGCGTTCAATCCCCAACCACCAAGGTGTTTGGGGCACCATTCCTTTCCCCCGTCCAGGGATTACATGATGTTTGGCTGTTCTGTTTACTTTCTTTAGCAAGTATTTGGCAGAGCGACGGTCTCGCTACATGCAGGTCGGCGTTCAATCCCCAACCACCAAGGTGTTTGGGGCACCATTCCTTTCCCCCGTCCCTATCCCAAATCCTTATCCTGACCCCTTCCCAGTGCTATAAAGTTGTAATGGCTTGTCGCTTTCCCCTGACAATTAAATGAATTTAGCAAGTATTTACAATACAATGTGGAGCTGAATTGACTGTAGTTCCGGGCATAGAACAGCCATAGATGTTCATAATAACTCTGTAGTAGAACACTCATAATAACTCTGTGGTAGAACACTCATAATAACTCTGTAGTAGAACACTCATAATAACTCTGTGGTAGAACACTCATAATAACTCTGTGGTAGAACACTCATAATAACTCCGTGGTAGAACACTCATAATAACTCCGTGGTAGAACACTCATAATAACTCCGTGGTAGAACACTCATAATAACTCTGTGGTAAAACGTTCCAATATACAGTAATGGACCACCAGAAAGTTGACTTTAGTCTAACAGAATTTGGACAAACCGGAAAACATTAGGGTTTTCTTCCTATTGGGGAGTGTTGTACATTCTGCTATGGCGGTTCACTCACAAGATGAGTGGCGCTGCCCAATAAATTCGCCCCTCGGGGCAAAATTAAAAAAAAAAAAATTAGTTAAAACATACATATCAGACCTAACCTAACCTCTTGCTAGCAAGCCTAGGTCTAATGCACGCTATTTTAGGCCCAATGAAGTACATATATGTGCTACAGTAGGCCTAGGAATATTTAAGTTTGGATGTAGCTCTATTCCCCCCCCCCCCCAAACTCTATCAAATGAACATTACAAAAAGTGGTGTACTGGCGGAGCATCGCTACCTATTGGTACTTTCCACCAAATGGTTACCGTAAGAACTATCATTTCAGTAGGATTGGTTGACTAAAGTATACCACTTAAATGCCATTTTTCCCGTTTTCAATAGATTCTGAATGAAGAATTAGAACTTCTTCCACCTCTGGCTGGAAGAAGGGGGACCCTTAGCCTCGGAGGAAACCCCACATAACGCATTAGAGGGAATGTTTAGGTCCCCTCCAATACAGTTTCTGTGTGCTTTTCTCCTACAATCTAGACGTATCTGTACCACACTTCACCGGTCGTGGGACCACAGTTTCTCCATACCCAGGCTGTAAGAAACGCCAGAGAAGAAAGGTGAAGAACTGTCCCTCTCGTGACCAAGCCTGAGACTCCCACATTAACATCTGAGGGACACACACAAGTTAGTTTCGCGGCTAAATGGACAGCGCTCGGGGGTAGTAGACCTAAGGGCCCAGGTTCGATCCCCGGCGGAAACAAATGGGTAGTTTCTTTCACCCAGATCCCGCTGTTCACCTACCTAGGAGTTAGACAGCTGCTACGGGCTGCTTCCTGTGGATGTGTGCGCGCGTGTTAGAGAGAAATATATATAGTAGACATAATAGACGAAAATTAAATTGGTTAGAAAGGCAGAGTCTAAGAGCTAATATAGCTCGATTCTGCAGATACAAATAGTAAATACGGAGAATAAAAACACACACACATTAAGGGAAAAAAAGTAGGAGGGCCTATAATATGGTTCAATAGGTTCAATAGGTTCAATAGACAGCGCCAGGAGGCAAAATAATAAAGCGGGAGTGGAGGAAATACAGAAGACAAAGGACAGAGGTAAACCGGGTTAGATGCACCAGGAATGACTACATAAACATAAGAAGATTGGCAGAAAACACTCTGGAAATATTACCTCCAAAGCATAGAGACATCCGAAACTCCTACATAGCCATATAAGAAGGACAATGACAGTGAATGACCAAGTGACCAGGTTACGAAAAAGGGGGAAGCCAGTATACAGAAAATGATAAAGAAATATGTGAGGAGCTCAATACCAGCTTCCATGGAGTGCTCACTACTGAGCCTGAGCTTCTCCAGGAGCAAGATGAGAAAGCAGCTCCTGATGAGAAACACCATTTTTAATCTATGCTTGTGCTTCCCATTTTCTTCGCTTTATTTTTCCACCCCTTTATGCCCTATTCTTCATCCCTTTACGCCTTACTCTTCACCTATTTATATGCACTTGACCCCCGAACGGTATAAGTCCAATACGCCCAGTACAGTCCCCTCACGGGAGACATCTCCCGTCACGCAGGGTGCAGTCGCACCTCCACAGATCTCCAGTATCAGCTCTTGATACTGGTAATGGCTCAAAAGGGCCACCACTTATGGGCTATTCATGCCCGTGCCACCTTTTGGGTGGCTTAATCCTCATCAGTCATCAATTACAGTCCCCTTACGGGCTCACTATAGCCCGTGTTACACGGATCTTCGTTATGAGCAGCTAAATCTAAAACAACGAACAGTCTCATCACTTGAGAATGAACCATGTAGGTTCGAAACGTGTAAATTTAACGTAAGTGTAACACATTCTACAGTTAATTATCCTTTTAGTTTACCTAGAACAAAGATGATCATCTTTGACACTGAATTTGACATTTGAAATCCAATTAAATTAAAATGCAATAGCACTAGTCAGAGGGATATAAGCCCTAAACAAGTAAATAGTCAACTCATAATATGCAGTCATTCAATATTATATATATATATATATATATATATATATATATATATATATATATATATATATATATATATATATATATATATATATATATATCCTCGCCCCATAGTTTCAAATGGCTTTGGGGAGTCGAGCCCCCGTGGAAACGACCCTTCGACAGTGCCATCCGTCATGCAGCCAACGACCGCCTTGGGGAAAGTTGGCCAATTTAAGTTTCAGACCAGAGTAACTTTTATAATTAGCCCTAGCTTGAGAGAACACGCGTCCCCTGGCCCCTACCATCCTCCTCCTCCCTCTACTCCTCTCTACCCCATTCCTCTTTTCTTTCTCTCTCCCTCCTACCTTCTTTCCCTCCCGTTTTATTCCCTCTTTTCCTACCCACTCTTCCACCTCCCTCTCCCCCACCATCACCCCCCCCCCGACACACACACAATGTAGGATAACATGAAACTTTTATTTTAAAAAATATAATAAAAAATCCGAGCTAAAATTAACTTAAAAATTCGTTTTTGGTTAAAAGAAGACGACTACTTTTAAACTGGAAGTCCTTGTACAATGTACGATGATTGACGCGAGTTGTACAGTGTCAGGGAGTGTACGTGGCACAGCAACATGTGCAAGTGTACTGTGTACGCCAGCGAGTGTACTGTGTACACAGTACACCCGCTGGCATACACAGTACACAAAATAAACAGTGACGAGTACTATATGTAACGCATTAGAGGGAATGTTTAGGTCCCCTACAATATAGTTTGTGTGCTTTTCTCCTACCACCCCTCCCCATCCTTTCTTTTGTATTTTGTTGTGCTGTATTAGACATTTAAAGGTTACAAGATATACATTTTTTAATACAATAGGGTTTAAAGGTTATGGATCCCTTGAAGTTCCTCCTCGTCCGAACAGTAACCGAGGATACAGCAGGCGTTTCCCCCTCTGGATCGCCACACTGAGGTGCTGAAACAGCAAACTGGCAGCTCTTGGGTCTCTGGTGATGTCAATGAGCCTGGAACCCAATTCTTTGAGGATTCAAAACACTCTAAATTTGATACATTAATTGTAAGTGACTCTTTATCATCGCTAATTGCTCTCAACTCTTCAAGACATAACTGTAACATGCTCGTGTCTGAAGCTAGACACAAATACAACGAATTTATTAATGACGGTAACAGAGTCCATTTCATGTTGGCCTCCGAATGCATGATAGAGCTGATAAGTTAGCCAAAGAATCTGCATTTAAAGGAGAAATTGAGTATAACCTTGGATTGTCAATAAGCAGTCTGAGAGCAATAGTACACCAAGAACTTCAACAAAATTTTGTAGATCTGAGGCAAAGTGAAATCGATACCAGTAATTCCATCTATCATCATACTATCATGCAAGAGGAGCCACACATCTATGGATCATCCAATAAAATCAGCAGACTTCTAGATGTTACTACTGCTCGGCTTAGACTCAGTTACAAGTATCTCTGGGAATTCTCATTATCTGCTGATGTAGACCTGACCAAATGTAAACTGTGTCAACAAAATTATTCGCACACCCTCCGTCACTATGTGATGGAGTGCGAAATGATACGTGAATTCAGAGACAATTCTATACCAAATGTTCCAAAGATGTGTAAATATTTCAATCAAAAT